TTTTCTTTTTTCTATAGAAACAACCCAAAAATCCACCTTAAAAAAAAATGGCATCGCTGGCTACACATTTCACGGCGTCCCTCTTCCTGTGCCCCGTCGGAATCCGCCGCCTCCTCTGCTCCGTCTCCCTCTTTCTGAAAAGCCCAGTCCTCTACAGATCAAGAATTTGGTACTTCTCAGAACCCAAGTGGAAAAACTTTGATCTTTACGCGCTCCTCGTATCCCTCCCGATCGCGTCATTTTCCAACATTTTGATTTTCCTCGCATTTTCAGAGAACCCCACCTTCAGATTCTCCTTCCTACAGCAGTCTTTAGTTGTTTTCTCATTCTGGGCAGTCTTGATTTTCATCATTCTTAGGGAAAGTTTTGGTCTTTTCTCGATTCCTGAGAATTTCGTGTTCATATTTGCCGGCATTGCCTTCGTGATTGAGTCTTACTTGTGTGACAGAGGTGTCGTCGGCCTCGGCGGTTGGGTTTACGGGATTTTGGATGGTTTGGCCGTTTTCTGTTCAGCCTGTTGCTTTTATTTATCCGTTAGGCCGTCGGCTTTCTTTGCCGAGTTTTTATTATCATCCGGCATTGTCTTGAAGGGAACTTGGGTTCTGCAAGTTGGTTTGTCTCTGTACACTGATGCATTTGGCTTCAAAGGGTGCCATAAAATTTCAGGGGAGAATCTTGGAAAAGGGGAGATTGATGTGAAGTGTGAGCTTGAGGATGATATGTGGAGGGGCATGGCTTTGATGAGTTTGATGTTTGTTTGTCATGTTATAGTAGTTATGATCATAGGATTCATGTTGGTTGGGTTGTTGACTCGTTTTACGAGCATGAGGTGTGGTGGGAGTGGCGGGCACTTGTTGTCCGAGTTGGGAAATGAGAGCATGCTCATGCATTCGCTTCCCGAGCTTGAGTTGGATTGAGAGTTTCTATTCGGTTGTTTTGGTGGTGGAGTTTTCTTACGGACATTATAGCATTGTAAGTTTTGAGTCGTCAATGGAAATAATAATTAACATTTATCATTTCTTGATCTTTAGATCATAACTTGTATAGTATATTTTGTCCTTTTGATGTGTTTCTACTCCACAACTCCTTTTATTCGTTGAGATTAAAGAATGAGTTCTTTTAGTTGTCTTCAAATGTTAATTCCTGCTTCAGGTTGACACAAGTTATTTTTATAGTACACTGCACACCATATATAACATCACCATATTCAATGATGTTTTGCTTCTCAGTACTAATCCATGTACTCTGAAAGGAGAAGTTTTCTGCTCAGAAGTTTCCGCACTGTCTAAGCTATTTTTTTTTATTTTCTTTTACTTGTTATGTGTGTTCGTGTGTGTGAACAAGTGTTTCTTTCGACTTTTTTATGAAATGATAAACAAAAAATTCCTCTACCTGCTTAAATCTGGACAGCTACTAATGCTAATCTATTTGGATGAAAAGATTATCTTGTGTGTGGTTACTTCATAGTCAGCCACCACGAATGTGCCCTTGGTTATTTTGTTTTCTCGGACCTCCCTAACCTTTTCATTCGAGTTCAAATTTTACGAAATAGTAAAATTTGCCCAAGCATGTCACTCGCCCATGTATTATATACTTGAGTTTGTTTAAATTTTGATCCAACTTCAAATGTAGATATTGAAATCTACTTTACTCGAATCACTTTAGCAGGTCGAATATGAATCAAGTTTGGGAAGCTTAAGTATTTATACCTTTAGCATAGAAGGAAGAAAATGTGTTTGATTTGGCTTCTAATTTGTGTTTTCGGCCTTGAGTAAAATATGAGTTGATAAAAATTATGTGACAGGAAATCTCGACAAGATATCGCATTAATAAAAATAGCGGTTTTCACAGTTCTTACGTTAAGACTTGGTTCTCATAAACTAGGGGCACAGAAGCTAGTGGTCACCTCTAAATCACAAGGGACATTATAGAGCACACGCAAAAAATACTCAAATGCTCTCCATTTGTGTATGGCCTTAAAATTGTTCAAAATTGCATTTTTCTGAGTAAATCTCACCTTTAATTGTCTTGAGCAACTCCGAGTATTTATCCTGTGCCTGCAATAAGCTGCAAGCTTGCATATTCATTTGGGTTAAAGAAGCCATATTTCAACTTGGGCAGCTTTGATTTTCTTGACGGTTAAAAGTTGATCCTTTTTCCCAGTGGATTTGAATCATAAAAGTTTGAGAAGTTATGTAATTGTCGATAATCTGCGTACAGTGGGGACAACAATAGCTGCTGCATGCTAATAGACAGGGTGAATAGACATAGTATATAGCTGCTGCATTCAATCTATTTTGGGTTTGCAGTGATCTGCTCGACTCAGATGAAGAAGCTTCAGATTCTTGATGTAGTGACCATATTTATTAGACTATGTTTTTCCAGTAAATTTAAGATTTTTTTGAGTTATTACTCGTTATAATTTTCTCCTATTGAGCCATGGTTCGTTCTCCTATTGAGCCATGGTTCGTAGGATTTCTGTGCATCGAACATATTTTGTATTATATAACCGTACTTCTTCTCATTATTTCTCATTGCACAGAGACGTCGATGCAAGTTCTTGACTTTCAAATTCGATACATTTCAAAGATTACAAAAAAACAAACCCAAATCACGAACAAAAAAGTTTACTCATTTTCTCATGCAAGCAAGAATCTGACAAAACACAAGCCACGACACCCCACCTCTCAGAATACGAACTCAACAGAAAAGGAAAAAAGAGACATTATAAACATGAGACTGGCATGAAACCTTACATGTTCCATCCCGAGAAACTTGCATCAACTGAAATGGTTTGTTCTGAATATCGAGCAGCATTCGAACCTCCCATTTTCTTGACAAAATTCAACGAATCGGGACTAGGCCTCGTGCCCAAGAACTTTTCTTCATCTTGTTTTGGATTCAAATTCTCCTTTTCAAACTTCATGAGCCCATTTTTCGCTTTACCTTTAACCTTCTTCCATTGAGCGAGATTTTCAACAGGATTAAGCACAGAGTACAAATACCGGTTCTTGTCTCGACCACTTAATTCCATTATTTGCCTGTCTTCATCATCAGTGTCTAAAGGATTTAACTCCCAATCGAAATTTTCTTGGCTTTCGATTCCTTCATCACTTTCTTTGCTAGAAACATCATCCGACTCGTGCTCACTATCCTCAATTTCCTCCGAATATAAATCATTTTCGCCCAAGGTTAACTCATCATCTTCATCATCATAGCTGTCTGTGCAGTTTTGGTATCTGTAGTTTGTCGTGACTGAATTTGAATTGAATTCCCATTTCGTCTCCTCTTCACCCTCCGAGAGGTAATCAACAGCGTGATCTTCTTTCGGAATCGGTTCGTAAGCTTTCACGTTTAGATTAAAGGTGACTTTCTTCTTTATTTTCGATTTTGTCGGCTCTTTCGGCTTCTCCCTTCAAAAATTGAAATTTCAGACTGCTGCATAAATTTTAGTGACAACAAAAACCGAAAAAAATGCTCTCTGAAATAGAATGCAGTGGCTTACTTGAGATGATAGGAATTTGAACTGACATTGATTCCTTTCGTATCAACTTCGACTGGGACATCATAATCAAGAGGTAGATAACTTCCAGGGTTCTAAAAAAACATATGCGAGAAAAAGTTATACACGCATTTACGATAACATCGACAACATTAACGTTCGAAAACTCGAAGTTGTGTATGATTCTAACAGAGAAAAATATGCCATTGAGAAGCTATTACTTGTTCTCCAGATGGGCATTTGTTGGGGGGTCTTTTGGTCTTTTTTCTCTTTTTGAATCCAAAACAACCCAGAAAACATCCCATTTGAAGCCAGCTGCAAGACTTTTTCCTGTTCTTGGCTTAGGCTGAGTTTTTAGTATGTAACAATGTGTTGTATCTGATCTTTTGGAGAGAAAAAAATGAGTGGGTTTTGGTTATAGAGCATTTGTGTTGCCTCCAATGGATTTTGAAAATAATAACGTTGTGAAAGCAAAGTGTGGTTTGTAAACTTGTAATAATAAATGCCGGCCGAGGTGGGGGCACACAAGATTTAAGCAAGCTTGTAATAAAGAAGACTCGACACAAAATTCGCTTTGAATTGTGGATTCACATTTTGGAATATTGAATTTTATTAGAATCGGGGAAGATGGTGTTGTCCCATGTGAAGCGCATGGAAGCAGTAGTTTACTAGACTATAAACTAGACTCATTTATTCTGTCAAATCAATGTGAGACAGCCGAGTACTTTTTTTTAAAGGGTAATTGTTATTTTAGCACCTGTAGTATGGGCTAATTGTGATTTTGGTACCTATCATTTATTTATTGCGAAAATACAACCCAACATTTACGTTTTGTGCGAATTTGGTACCTATTCTTTATTAATGGCTAAAATACAACCCAACCTTTACGTTTTTTGCGAATTTAGTACCTAATAATTTTTTTGTACCTAATAATACAAATAAAATATCTTTATTTTGATTTTTTGATGTAAATCATAAAATTATTATTTGTATTATAATGAATGATACAAATAAAATATTATATAAATCATAAAATTAAAAATAAAAATAAGATAAATTATAATAAAATATTATAAAATAAAAATAATGTGAAAGGCAATAAAATGATTTAAAGTAATTTTTAATAAATTAAAAAATTAAAATATATGTACTTTTAATAAAAATAACGTGTAAGAAATAAAAATTAACAAGTAAAAATATATATAAATAAAATAAAATTACATTAAATCAAATTAAATTTTGTTAAAATGATATAAAATAAATTTTTTCTTTTATAATTTATTTGAAAAGTAATACTTTTTTAAAATATTTTTTTTAATAATTATATATGGTTTTTTACAGAATCTCTAAATGTAA